GTTCTGACGATGGCGACGGTAATGATGATGACGATAGTGCTTATGATGAGGTTGATAATGGTGATGGTGATGGTGATGATGATGTTGATGATACTGATAGTGGTGGTTGTGGCGATGATGACGATGATGACAACGACGGTGATGATGCTGCTGCTGATGATGATGCTGGTGATAGTAATGGTAGCAACAACAATCATAGCAATGCCAATAACGATGACGCTGTCGATGACGATGATGCTGATGCTGCTGATGATGATCATGATGGTGATGGTGATGTTGATGATACTGATGATAGTGATGCTGTTGATGATGATGATGATGATGATGATGATGATGATGCTGATGATGATGATGATGATACTGGTGGTGCTGCTTCTGATGTTGATGCTGCTGTTGCTGATGATGATGATGCTGACGATGATGATGCTGATGGCGATGGTGATGATGATGGTATTAATGCTGCTGATGATGCTGATGATGTTAATGATACTGCTGCTGCTGCTGCTTCTGATGATACTGATGATTAGGATGATGCGGATGCTGATGATGCTGATGCTGATGCTACTGCTGCTGCTGCTGATGTTGATGATGATTATGCTGATGCTTTTGCTGCTGCTGATGATGATATTTATTATGCTGCTGCTGATGATGATGGTGGTAGTGAAGATGATGCTGATGATGATGATGATGATGATGATGATGATGATGATGATGATGATGATGATGCAGCTGAGGGTGATGATGATGACGCTGTTGATGATGCTGATGCTGATGCTGATGCTGCTGATGCTGATGATGATGAGGAGGAGGAGGATGAGAAGGAGGAGGCCGAGGGAAAAGAAGCGGACAGGTGGTGGAGTGAGGCGAAGTGAGGCGGAGGGAGGAGGAGGGGGAGGTTGAGAGAAGAAGGAAAGAGGAGAAGGGAGGAGAGGGGAGAGAGAGGTGACGATGAGGCAGAGTCGGAGGAGGAGGATCTGCCCAGGTGGCCAAGTACGAGGCCCTGTACGCCTCCACGCTGGCCCAGGAGCCCGTCCCTCTGGGAAGTGGGAGGGCGGGGGGCAGCGGAAGCGGAGGGGCGGCTTCTCGACAGCAGGTTACCGCATGAGTATCGCGTTTCGAGGAGGCGTCAGCATGGATTGCGGCGGGTGGGCTGGCGACGCGTCCCGCTTCCGTACAGTGCTGGGGCGACCCGTCGCCAAATCAGGCGGCAGTGGCCGCACAGTTCGGGGGTTACGTTCCCCGATCCGTGGATTTGGCGCCCACGCGCCAGATCGACGGATCCCTTATGCATGTTGGCGCGCTAAGGCCCCTGTCTTCGAAGAGGCCACCCTCGCGCAACCCCTTGGGGGCGCCACCGACTGAAGCGGCGCGCCGCCCCCCCCCCCCCCCCCGAGGAGCACGGGCACGCACGGGAGCTGGCCGCGGCCTTCGCGGGCGGCTTTGGCAGCCTGCTGGTGCTCGCTGCGGGCCCCGCGCAGGGGTGGGGGGTGCGCGCGCGCGCGGGGGGAGAGAGACGCGCCGAGGCGCGCCCAGCCGGCGGCGCCCACCTCTTCGGGGCTCACGCATCGGGGGTTCAGCGCCAACGGGGGTCGGCCGAGTCCTCTCTGGCTGGCCGGGGTTTGGGAGCCACTTGGGGCCGACTCCCTCTTGCCACCCTCCGCTGGCTCGGGTCTGGGAGCTACTCAGCGGCCCGGCCCGGTGTCGCGACGGGGTCCTAGCCGACCCTGGCTTGTGCTGCCTCGGGTGCGTGCGTCCCCGACCTATCAGGGGCAAAAATTCGGGGAAGGTAGTCTCGGGGGGGGAGGCATCGACCCACCATCGCCCATGCATCGCCGATTTTGCAGGTCGATGTTTCCGCCTCTGAGCCGGTCCCCCCCCACGTTCCCCCTCAGTCCAGGGCCCCCAAGGGGCGCGAAGATATCGCGGCTTGGCTTGGAGAGGCGGCCCTCGGCGGCTTTTCAGTCTGGGGACGCGTTTCAGCAGATGCGCCTGACCGAGATCGTCCCAGGGGTGTCCGAATCGTCCTTGACGCGCCTGGCCGTCTCGTGGGGCTTGCATTCCTAGGTCTTGGAGCCTGCTGGGGGGCCGAGGTGGCCCAGCACGGTCTCCGGCCAGCGGAGATCTCAGCTGGAGTAGGGGGTCCGGCGCAGATGGTGTCGGCCGCCAGAGCTGCCAGCGTTCGTGAATTGTGTGCGAGTGCGTGCGCTGGTACGCAGGTAGTGCTGTGGGGGGAGCTAGTTGTTGTGCGGGCGACAGCTGTTGCGTGCGAGAGGAGCTGCGCAAGTGCATCCACCCGCACATATGGCGTCCATGCATCCACTATTGCAAGTACTACTGCACTTCTCCCCGCGGATCCATCTGTGCCAGACCCACCACTCCGGCTTACACCAGCACGGGATCCACCCAGCAGAAATGGAGGGACAATGAGGCCCCGTCGCCGCCACGGGTGGGCACGGCCCGAGAAGCTGGTCCGTTTGGGCCCCGGGAGGGGCTGGGGGCCGAGTTTGAGCGGATTTGCCCTCGCACTCCCCTCTTGGAAGTTTTCTTGGGGCCCATCCAGCGCAGACGCCCCGGCCGCCTCCATTCCGGCCCCCCCTTAGGGGCGCGAATATAACCTCGAATATTGATATCCATGTATTCGTAGTAATACTACATAATAGCAAGACTGCTGATGTTATAATTACGACTAAACAATGTTACAATTATTCACTCTAATAGTGATAGTAATAATAAGAACAATCGCAATAGTGTTAGTAATGGCTGCAGTAGTAGTAATAGTAGTAGTAGTAGTAGTAGTAGTAGTAGTAGTAGTAGTAGTAGTAGTAGTATGGTGGTGGTGGTGGTGGTGGTGGTGTGTGGTGGTGGTGGTGGTAGTAGTAGTAGTAGTAGTGGTAGTGGTAGTGGTAGTGGTAGTGGGTAGTGTTAGTAGTAGTAGTAGTAGTAATAGTAGTAGTAGTAGTAGTAGTAGTAGTAGTAGTAGTAGTAGTAGTAGTAGTAGTAGTAGTAGTAGTAGTAGTAGTAGTAGTAGTGATAGTAGTAGTACTCGTACTAGTACTAGTAGTAGTAGTATTTGTAATAGTAGTAGTAGTAGTAGTAGTAGTAGTAGTAGTAGTAGTAGTAGTAGCAGTAGTAGTAGAAGTAGTAGTAGTAGTAGTAGTAGTAGTAGTAGTAGTAGTAGTAGTAGTGGTCGTAGTAGTAGTAGTAATAGTAGTAGTCGTCGTCGTCGTCGTCGTCGCAGTGGTAACAGTGCTAGTAATAGGAACAGGAATAGGAATATATTAATGAGAGTAGTCGAATAATCATTGGACTGCTGCTTGTTTATTAAGATCAGTACTCGTAACACGAATAGTAATATCAATAGTAATCGTAATCGTAATAGTAATCGCAATGATCGTCGTACGAGTAGCAGTAATAGTGCTAGTGCTCGTAATTGTACTTGTATGTATACTAGTCATAGTACCATTCGTAGCAATAGTAATAGTACTGGTAGTAGGATCAGTAAGACTAGCAGTACTAGTTATATTCATCGTAAAATTAATGGTAATAGTAAAAATATTGGTTTCATGACCAATCATCGCGATAGTAATAGTAGTCGTAATAGAAATAGCAGTAGGAATACGAATCTTACTAGTACGAGTAATAGTATTAGTCATAGTAATGGGAAAAAAGAGTAATAGTAAGAGTAAGAGTAATAGTAAGACTAAGCGTACGAATGGTAGTAATAGGATTCGTAAACGTCATAGCAATATTACCCGTAATAGTAAGGATGGTCGTATTAGCTATGATTACATCAATCACTATAGTACAAACAACACGAAGACGGCACTTACTCATGCAACGAATACTTTGCATACTACTCAGGCTGCGAACAGTATGTCAACAATAACACGTATTGGGAAGGCCTTACGGACGGTGCCGCCGATTCTGAAGGGGGACGACGACCTCGGCGGCGGCGTCGGCGGCGACGACGGCGCTGACGTGGGGCAGAATCCTCAGCGACGCTTCGTGGGGCCTCTTCGGAGCGCTCTCGTAGGCCTGCGGGGGGAGTTTGGGGGCCTCTTCGGAGCATCTTGGGGGCCTCTTGGAGCCTCTTGGGAGTCCCTTCGGGCTTTCCGGGGCCCTCTTCGGGGCCTCTTGGGGCCTCTTGGGGCCTCGTGGGGGCGTCTTGGAGGGCTGGGCCTCCTGGGAGCTTCTCGGGGCCGAGGGCTCGAAACGTTCGTTCGGGCTCCCGTGTGGGCACCCCTCTTGGAGCAGTTCTGGTTGCCTCTTGGGCCGTGTGGGAGGCCTCCAGGGCCGTCTTGGGGCCCTCTTGGGTCGTTTTGGGCCCGTCTTGGAGACCTCTTGTGCCGATCTTGATGACATCGTGGGCCGTCTTGGGGCGTCGGGAAGCCGAGAAGGCGAGAACGCCAGAAACCGTTCCTGTCCCAAAGGAAGTAATTTGATGTTGCAGCTTGGTGCCCTCTTGGTGTGCTCTTGGAGGCCCCTTCGAGCGTCTTGGAAGCCGCTTGGGCCGTCATGAGGTCATCCGTGTGGTCTAGTCATTTGTGAGGCGATTCGGGGTGCTCCTGGACTGTCTTGGGGGCCCCTTGGGCTGTCTTAGGGTTTTTTGGGGCCCCAGGACCCCTGGGGGGGGGGATGGCTTTCTGACCCAGGACCCCCCCCCCAGGACCTCCCCTGGGACCCCCCCCAGTACCCCCGCCCCCAGCGGGGGAAGGGATCAAAGGGAAGGGGCTTCCCTTCGACTCAACTACGATGTTCCTTAATTTCGGTTTGATTTCTCGTTGGCTGGCTCGCTTGAGGAGGAGGGCCCAGTCAGAGCGGGGGGGGCGGCGACGAGGAGGGCCCAGTGAAAGGAAGGGGAGCGGCGACGGCCCAGGGAAAGGGGGTCACACGCGGGCAAACGCGACGACGACGACGTCGACGACGTCGAGTCAAACAGAACAGCGTCTTCCGCACGCTGACAGGGTCGGCGGGTAATACTAGCAAGACTACTCGTAATAATAGCGCTACTATGAATCGTGGTAATATTAATGATATTGATGCTGCTACGAATAAGACGAATCATGAATCGTCATAGTACTCATCATCGTATTCATAGCAATACTACAACTAGTAGTACGAATGAGCACAGCTAATACTATTAATCACACTCGCATGCGTTGTAAAACTAAAGCCGCCGCCAGAACATGCCCATGTTCTTCCTCGCCTCCGGGTCGTGCCCTGGGATCTCGAGGAGTGGTGGACGTGCAGATTTGCCCGCCCGCACGGCCGGGCAGGTATCTGCATCCACCGCTTCCCGAGTTCCCGGGGCACGACCCAGCGGCAGTGGATAAAGTCGTACCCAGCCCCTTCTCCGTGCGAGGCGATTCTTTTTATGAACGCCTGGATCTCCGTGACAATCTGCTCGGCTGCACCTCCCACGAGCCACGACCCCGTCGCTTTGTACACGGGCATACTCTTGCGGCACAACAGAAGCTGTCGGAGCTCCTCGTGGTCTTCTCGGACCTGTGCTGGGCCTGCCTGGCGGCGCCTCCAGCGCCGCCCCTGGGGCGCTCCGCGTGCCAGGGGGGCTCAGCGCCGATCCAGGAAGTCCGTGCGGAGCTCCGACAGTTTATGGTCATGGTGATCTGTCTTGTCCCATGATCGCGGTTTGGGCTGGAGGCGCCCTTCTCCACGACGGCTTCGCGAGGGCGCGAAGACGCGTCGCGCATCGTAGGGCGCGATGCGCGAAGTTAGGTGATCGACAGGCATCGGAAGAAGTCAGCGAGCACTCATGCCACATTTGCCTGTCAACTCTACCTCGATGATCAAAGTTGTCGGTATGTTGAATGAGTTGCACTTCGTCCGCAGTCTTCCCCACGCGTCCCAAGTTTGAGTTTTGAGGACTGAGGGAGTGTCCACTAATTGTTTCCCTCTACCGTAGCTGATGGTCTGTCGATGACGAGTTTGATCACACAGCAATGCTACTAAGAGTACGAACAGTCTGATACTATGTGTTGCCAGTGCTAGTCGTAGTAGTAACGCAGGCACTTGCAATGCAACATATAATCTAACTTAGTACTACACGCGAATCATGCTGACATTAGTCATACCCAGAAGAAGTATTGCATTACTATGCGCGAAATCTGCCTTGATATTATTCAATTTTGGTAAGAGTACCATCAGTATCACTCGGGATGGTTATCGGGAGGAGAAGACGTGTTACAGCACTAAGGGTAGGCGTGCCACAGTGAGATTGCCGAGAGCAAATGGGGATGAGTCGGACGAGGAGGAGGAGGAGGAGGAGGAGGAGGAGGAGGAGGAGGGGGACGAGGAGGAGGAGGAGGCGGAGGAGGAGGAGAGATGAGGAGGAGGAGGAGGGTGAGGAGGAGGCGGAGGAGGAGGAGGAGGAGGAACAGGAGGAGCAGGACTTGCAGGAGCAGGAGCAGGAGGAGCAGGAGGAGGAGGAGGAGGAGGAGGAGGAGGAGCAGGAGGAGCAGCGGGAGGGGGTGAAGGAGGAGGAGGAGGAGGAGGAGGAGCAGGAGCAGGAGCAGGCGCAGGAGCAGGCGCAGGCGCAGGAGCAGGCGCAGGCGCAGGAACAGGAGGACGAGGCGAGGCGGGCGGGCGTCCCCCCCACGCTGCGGAGGCCTGCGCTCGGCCTGCGCTCCGCGCCGTGTGCGCGGCCTCGGCTCCGAGGCGCCGCAGGCGCCGCGCCTGCGACGGGCCCTTTGCGCTCGCCGTCGCCGCCGCCGTCGCCGCCGCCGTCGCCGTCGCCGCCGCCGCCGCCGTCGCCGCCTCGTCGACCGATCGAGGATCGGTCCTCGGCCCTCGCCTCCTCCCTTCCTATACTGCTCCGCCGCCTCCCCACCTCTACTCCCGATCCTCCGGCCTCGCCTCCCTCCCGCGCTTGCCGCCCTCATGGCGCTCGCCGTCGCCGCTCGCCGCCGCTCGCCGCACCGATCGCCGCCGCCTCGTCGATTGGCCGATTGACGTTCGAGGTTTCCGGACGTTTTTTTGTGTTCTCGGTTCCTTTCCACGTGCTCCCCGGCAGCTGTGCTTCGCCGAAGGGCGTCCGGGTGTGCCTGGATCGTCCCGAACGGCCGCGAGATCTTCGATCCGGGAAAGGGGACGAAGACGAAGACGAAAGGGACGAAGACGAGGAGCAGGAGAAAGAGAAGGAGGAGGAGGAGGAGGAAGAGGGGATGGAAAAGGAAGAGGAGTAGGAGGAGGAGAAGGAGGAGGAGGAGGATCGGGGAGGCGGATGACGAGGATGGCGCGAGGAGGAGGAGGAGAAGGAGGAGGACGACGAAGACTCTGGCAGCCGTTTTGGGGTCTTCGGGAGGCCCTCCTAGGGTCCCTTTGGGGCTCTCTCGCGGCCATCTTTGGGCTCTCTTGGAGCTATTTTGAAGGGAATTGAGGTTCTCTCGGGACTCGTTTAGGGGGTCGTGGTGCGCTGGGAGCCTTCTTAGGGGCCTCTTGGTATCCTTGGACGGCCTCTTGGGGCCATCTTGGAGGGCGTCGATCAAAAGAGGGGGGGGCTCGAATCCGCTCCCCCCCCTGGGGCTATCAAGGTCGCCTCTTGGGGCCTTCTCGGTGCGCCGTCATGGCGCTCGTGGGCGGTGTTGGGGCCGTCTTGGGCCCCTCTTGGGGCTCTCTTGGGCCATCGTGGGGGCCATCTTGAGCCCTCCAAACCGCATCAGAAGCAACAAGGCGAGACGTACATACTCATTGATTGTCCGCTAGTTTGTAGCACATTTTGGCTTTTTGGGGAAGTCCAGACAAGGCGGCTCCGACAACATGTGGAGCCGTCATGTGGTCCTCTTGGAGCTTCTTGGATGCATGTCGGAAGCCATCTCGAACCATCTTCTGCTATCTTGAGCCGTCGTTGGAGTCGTCTTGTATGTAGCATCGGGGCCGTCTTGGAGCCGTCTTTGACCAATATAGGCCCTCTCACAAATCGCGGGGGGTTCAACAGCACCTCAGGGAGAGGGTGGGGAAGGTACCCGTCCTAGCAGGGAAGAGGGTTTTGGAAGAGGAAATCACATAATCGTTGGACCACCTACGTCTGAAAGCTGTTGGGATTTTCGGCCCTCGACGGGCCCCAGGACTGTCAAACAACAACGGCTCGGAAACATCGGCTTCTGGGAAGGGTCGGGAACTATGGGGACCGCGAATTGAACGAATCAAGACATTGCATGTCTGGGCCGATCGACCGATGATCGATCTTTGATTTGTCCGCCTCCTCCTCCACCTCCTCCCTCCCCCCTCCTGATCCTCTTCCCTCGGTCCTCTTCATCTCCTCCTCCTCCTCCTCCTCCTCCTCCTGCTCCTGCTCCTCCTCCTCCTCCTCCTCGTCCTCCTCTTCCTCCTCCTCCTCCTCCTCCTCCTCTCCTCTCCTCCTCCTCCTCCTCCTCCTCCTCCTCCTCCCTCCTCCTCCTCCTCTCCTCCTCCTCCTCCTCCTCCTCCTCCTCCTCCCCTCCTCCTCCTCCTCCTCCCTCCTCTCCTCCTCCTCCTCCTCCTCCTCCTCCTCCTCCTCCTCCTTCTCCTCCTCCTCCTCCTCCTCCTCCTCCTCCTCCTCCTCCTCCTCCTCCTCCTCCTCCTCCTCCTCCTCCTCTCCTCCCTCCCGCGCGCTGGGCGTTTGGCGCTCGTCGTCGCCGATCGCTCCCTCACGTCGATCCACCGAGGATCGGTCCTCGATCGGTCTCGTCGAACCACGGGCGGCAGTAGCATCCGCCGAGGGCTTTCTCTGCTGTCGCCTTAATTCCCGGCCATCCTGTGGTGCTGGGTCCTCGTTTTGAGGAGACAGCGCCCCGCGTTCCCCTCCTCTCCTCTTCTCCTCTCCTCCCCCTTCTCCTCCCCCTTCTCCCTCCTCCCATCCGCCTCGTCACCTCCCTGCGTTTCACCTGCCCAGGACAGCGTTTCGTGGCCCCATGGGGAGCTCCACCGAAGGCTCCAGTGGCAGGGTCCGCATGCGCCCCCCTGCCCATTTCGCCCCACCCCTCACGAGGATCGTGGCCCCATGGGGAACTCCACCGAAGGCCCCAGCGGCAGGGTCCGCATGCGCCCCCCCGCCCATTTCGGCACACCCCTCACGAGGATCGTGCCCCCATAGGGAGCTCCACCGAAGGCCCCAGCGACAGGGTCCGCATGCGCCCCCCCGCCCATTTCGGCACACCCCTCACGAGGATCGTGGCCCCATAGGGAGCTCCACCGAAGGCCCCAGCGACAGGGTCAGCATACGCCCCCCCCCGCCCATTTCGGCACACGTGGCCCCATACAGAGCTCCATCGAAGGCCCCAACGGCAGAGTCCGCATGCGTCCCCGCCGCCCATTTCGGCACACCCCTCACGAGGATCGTGGCCCCATCGGGAGCTCCACCGAAGGCCCCAGCGGCAGGGTCCGCATGCGCACCACCGCTCATTTCGGCACACCCTTCACGGTGGCCCCATAGGGAGCTCAACCGAAGGCCCCAGAGCGACAGGGTCCGCATGCGTCCCCCCGCCCATTTCGGCACACCCCTCACGAGGATCGTGGCCCCATCGGGAGCTCCACCGATGGCCCCAGCGGCAGGGTCCGCATGCGCCCCCCCCGCCCATTTCGGCACACCTCTCGCGAGGATCGTGGCCCCATGGGGAGCTCCACCGAAGGCTTCAGCGGCAGGGTCCGCATTCGTTCCCCCCGTTCATTTCGGCACACCCCTCACGAAGATCGTGACCCCACAGGGAGCTTCACCGAAGGCCCCAGCGACAGGGTCCGCATGCGCCCCCCCGCCCATTTCGGCACACCCCTCACGCGGATCGTGGCCCCATCGGGGGCTCCACCGAAGGCCCCAGCGGCAGGGTCCGCATGCGCCCCCCCGCCCATTTCGGCACACTTTTCGCGAGGATCGTGGCCCCATAGGAGGCTACACCGAAGGCCCCAGCGGCAGGGTCCGCATGCGTCCCCCCGCTCATTTCGGCACACCCCTCACGAAGATCGTGACCCCACAGGGAGCTTCAGCGAAGGCCCCAGCGACAGGGTCAGCATGCGTCCCCCCGCTCATTTCGGCACACCCCTCACGCGGATCGTGGCCCCATCGGGAGCTCCACCGATGGCCCCAGCGGCAGGGTCCGCATGCGCCCCCCCCCGCCCATTTCGGCACACCCCTCGCGAGGATCGTGGCCCCATAGGGGGCTCCGCCGAAGGCCCCAGCGGCAGGGTCCACATTCGCCCCCCCCCGCCCATTTCGGCACACCCGTCGCGAAGATCGTGACCCCACAGGGAGCTTCACCGAAGGCCCCAGCGGCAGGGTCCGCATGCGTCCCCCCGCTCATTTCGGCACACCCCTCACGAGGATCGTGCCCCCATCGGGAGCTCCACCGAAGGCCCCAGCGGCAGGGTCCACATGCGCCCCCCCGCCCATTTCGGCACACCCTTCACGAGGATCGTGGCCCCATAGGGAGCGCCACCGAAGGCCCCCGCGGCAGGCTCCGCATGTGCCCCCCCGCCCATTTCGGCACGCCCCTCGCGAAGATCGTGACCCTACAGGGAGTTTCACAGAGAGCGGTACCCACAACGCGGCACTCCCAAGTGCATATGGTCGGGTCTTTCGCCAGGATATTTGTTTGGTCTGCGGAGAGCTCGTTGCCGCTTCCCCCGCCTCCTCGCCTCCTCCCCCGATTGGTTATCGAGGATCGGGTGCACGAGCAGTCGATTGATCCACGATCGATTCGCCGTCGCCTCCGCCGATGGCGGACTCGCTTCGGATGTTTCTGGGCGCCTACGCCGCCGCCACTTCGTCGTCGCCGCCGCCACTGCCTCGTCGACCGATCGGGGGTTGCTGGAAGTCCCAACACGCGGCGGTGACCATCACACCGCCATGTGAGTTTTAGTGGGGATTTTGGAGTTTGGCTGCACGTTTCGGGGACCTATGCCGTTCTCCAGGGGCGTCTCAGGGTGCCTGGGGCTTCCAGGAGCCCAAGAACCGCGCGGCGACGGACCATACGGTGAGGGCCTGTTGAGATTCCGAGGTCTGCCACGGCACCGTCTTGGGTCCTCCATTATCGATCCTCGATCTGCCGCCGCCGACGCCGCCGACGGCGACGACCGCTTCGCCTCGGATAGTTTCGGGCGCCTCGCCTTGGCTGGGCGCAGCTCGATGGACACTAGGAGGCGCGCATGGACAGATTTTTGTAAGTGGATTTTGGTCTGTCGCTGTGGCTGCCGCCTCGTCCTCGACTGGATCGAGCAAGGGTCGATCGAGGTGTTCGGACATCTTCGGCTCCTCGTGGGCCACATGGGGGCTTTTATGGGTCTTCGGGACCCCCAGGGACCCGTCGAACGATGTCGGTCGTCGTCGTCGCCGCCTCCGTCGCCGTCGCCGCCTCCGTCGCCGTCGCCGCCGCCGCTTTCGCCGCCGCCGCCGCCGCCGTCGCCGCCGCTGCCGTTGCCATCGTCGCTGTCGTTGCCATCGTCGCTGTCGTCGACGTCGTGCTCCTTTCGTTGCTCGTCCTTCTGCTCTCTCGTGCTCCCTTCTCTCTGCTCGTCATTATTCTCCCTCCTTTCTACCTCGTGATCTTCCCCCCTCCGCTCCTCTCCTACCTATCTCCTCGTTCTCCCTGCCCCCTTCCTCCCCTTCCTCGCCATCTTTCGTCCTCTTCCCTCCTCAGCGTCCTAGTCTGCCTGGCTTGCGAGCCAGCCCCAGGGGACCCCCCCAGCCGCTACCTCGCTGCGTCTGTCCTCCCTTCTCCTGCCATGGTCCTACGGTTTACTGATGCTGGCCGTCCAGAGCGGCCCCGCGGCAGGAGTGGGCGCCCCCGCGCGGCCACGCCCCCGTGGCGCAGGCCGAGGACGAGTGAGGACGCGGCTCCCCCCCCCGCCCTGGCTGGCGGAGCGCGGGGGCGTCGTCCTGGGGCGCCGCCACGCTCGGGGGCACCTCTTCGGGGGCAGCGATAGGGGGGGGGGGGGGAACAGCCATAGGGGGGGATGCATCGACCCCTTAATCTCTCATTGATCGCCGATAGGGGTCTGAAAGCCCCACACAGCCCAGGAACGTGCGGATTTGCCAATGGGGGCCCTATGGCCGATCGATCCGCGTTGTTATCTCCGATGCCAGGTCGATGCTTCCCCACCCCATGCCAGGGCCTCCATGATGGGGTCACATCAATTTCGGCTGCAATTTCGGGCACACCACGATGTCGGTCACAATTTCGGGCACGTCTTCGGTCACCGATGCTTGTCGCTCACCTGCCTTTCCGGCTGATACGGGCCGGGCGCCATGAGGAAATGTGGAGTGCCGTTTCGTGCTAAAGGGCTCCCAGGTGGTCCGTGGTCCGAGCAGATGGGGTCGGAGGATCGCGCCGCGTCGCCGATGCATCAGCGTTGTGTGACCAACATTGTCGCCAAACTTGAGCATCGCTTTGGTTTCGAACCAAGAAGTTCGGTCACACTCTGGCGTGTTTGGAAAAGTGGGCGCAGGTTTCGGTGCCGCTCGGGCAGGTTCTTGGGCAGAGTTTCGGTCACTACCCCCCCCGATAGAGACGAGGCTGCGTGACTCGTAGTACAAGTTATTACAGTGGAAGGGATCACAACCCTCCTAGAGGAACAGCAGTCCCCCAGACCAGCTGTGAACGGGCGGCCTTCTGCCCAGGCCCCCTGCAATCCTCCAAGAGAGCTCAGATCAGACCCCCCCTTCCGTAGCCATTTTGGCTCAAGCCCTTCCGGCCCCAAAAGCCGCCGCGCCGCCGATGGCGCCGACCGACGCTGACGGCGCCTCGCCGCGCGACGCCGGGCCCGCCCGCCGCGGGCCCTCCCCGAGGAGCGCTGCCCCGTGCGAGGGGGTGGCCAAGTACCCGCCGTGCTGGAAGCACGCGCCCACCCTTCTCGATGAGGAAGGCCCCCCCCCTCCCAGCGGCCAGGACGCGAGCCTGCTGGAGGCTGTGGAGCGCCACCCGTTCCAGGCGCAGTGCGCGTTGGTTCTATCGGTGACCGACCTGGGCGAGGGCTGGGCTGGAACCTGGAAGGTCGGTGCGGCCGACTACGACAAGCTGAAGTCGGAGATGTTCTGCGAGATTGATGGCTCGGCGCAGAAGAACGGCAACATCTCGTGGGAGGACTTCGAGGCCTACTGCGAGGAGCACACGGAGGAGATCCTGAAGGGCCCGAGCCTGTTCCACGGCATGCTCCACGAGAGCTCGAGGCACAAGGCCTTCGAGACGTTTGACGGAGACGGGCACGCCGGACTGTCCAGGGCGGAGTTCGACGCCTTCGTCCGCAGCCTGCAGGGCCAGCACCTGCAGCACCTGCTGCGGAGGGCGCACCTCCAGGGCCGGGCCTTCTGGGGCAGGCGCGCAGGGGCCCGGGGGGCGGAGGTCCGCAGCGAGCGCGGGCTGGAGGTGGTGCGGGCGGTCGTGGACGCGGCGGCCCTGCAGGAGGCGGACGGCAGCGCCCGACCCACGGGGCGCCTTCTCCTCGGCCGCGACGCGGACATCGAGCTGGCCGACGGGGGCGTGTGCCTGGGCGTCTTCGCCCTGGGCTGGTGGGAGGACTTCAAGTACTATTCCGCCAACAACCACCCTCTCCACGGCATCCTCATGTGCGACCCTGGCCACCCGCTGGACTGGAAGGAGAGGCTGATGATGGAGATCAGCACGCTGTGCTACACCTGGTTTGTCATGCAGACGGCCACGCAGCTCTCAGATGCGGCGGACGCCATCACGTGGGGGCCCGAGGGTAAAGCTCTTTGCAGCGTGCTGTTCACGACGATCACAGGGATGGTTTGGTGGTACGCCCTGTTTATGCTTTTTACAGTGCCCTGCACCGACGTTGACGAGTCTGCCGAGAGTGCCTCGAAGGTCGCAAAGATGAAAACCATTCGGCGCAGTTGTGAGGCAGTTGGCTATTTTTTGGTTTTGTCCGCAGTCCTGATGGCAACGTGGTCCCTCTGGGTGCACACAGATTATGTCGCACGGCCAGTCCTCTTGGGCCGTCTTAAGGCCTATGCAATATCGTGGCTTTTAATGTTCTTCCTCCAGTTCAACCCTGTCGTAGCGTTTGGAAACTCCGACCCCGCGCAAAAGCCCACTTTGATAGACAAACTCGCCGCCATCATTGGCATCGGCCAGTGGAGAATCGAGAAGATGACATTCCAGTACCTCTGCATTCGCGGCCTCGGGGACCTGGACAACGGGAAAGCGCCCGGCGACGCAGAGTTCCATAATATGACGGATCGATCCTGCCTGCCGCGCGGTTGTTGCTATCGGCGCGTCGGCAGGTGATTCGGTTTGCACGCATGTGTCGAAAATTTTCCCTCCTAGCATGCCAACGTGTAGTTCTCGTGTTCTCGTGTATCGTAATTCACATATGTGAGTGAGCTGGCGTGCGCATATATGCTTTTCTAGGCACGCGCGTACGATCTACAGTTGCACTGCTTTTCGGTTTGAACTTGTTTGTCAACTCGTGCACGCCAAGGATAGGGAGGGCAGCAATGCAGTTGCAACATAAGCAGCGCATGCCCCTCCTCGTCTTTGTCTCAGTGTTTCCCCTGCGGCGTCCGCGATTGCGGCTTGGTCTTTGACCCGACAGCCGCTCGTGCACGGGGCTACACTTGCAGGATTGGCCCAGCGTCTGTCCAATGCCCTGCCAGCATCCTTGCGTCAATCTGTCGCGCACGTGTGCAACGTGCAGAGTACAACGCAGCAGCAGGCGGTGTTGCTTGCACGGGTTGTGCCGACTCGCTGGCGTGCTCGGGTTTAACATACCAAGCTGCGGAATGTCTGTCATTGCTTTGGTTCCTTCGATTGCCTCCGCATGATCTCGCTCATGTAGTCGCTGCCTTTGCTGCTGCTCCTCATCTTCGTCCCGTGTGCCTCCCTCCTCCCTGCTGCTTCCAAGAAGCACGGCGCCGATTTGCCCGCGCAGAGGTCTCGAGGCGCTGCATGCTTAGACGCGGCTGGTTAATTGCCCCTTCCACCCATGGAGGGCCGCACATGGCAGAGCAAGGGAGGAAACCACCCCGAGGGGCGTGAGGACCAGGTAAGAAAAGCAGCGCAGATCAGACCCCCGCTCAGCTCGGACCCCTCCCTTATATGGTGAAGTCCGGAGAACTGAGACAATTGGCACGTTAGGATGCAACTCCTGGGAGGTTCAATTCGGAATCGGCGCTGGTAGCTCCGTGGTCGAACGTTGGCCCAAATCTGTCATAATCCCGCGCAGTCCAGCTTAATCCCGCTTCATACGTCCAACCAAGTTTCATCTCGACCTTTTTCTGGACTGCTCTAGCTTAGTGGCCCCCCCATCGGGCTTCATGGTCCATGCGAGGACCTCCCAGGAGTTGCCTCCGAAACCGCCTGCCCAACAGCGGCCGCTGTCGATCTTGGGCACCATTGGATGTTGGTTATCGTGCCCATTTTCCCCTATCCATTTCGGGTGTCCAACGCAAGGAGGCTCGGGGAGAACGAAATAAAAAGCGCCCCACTGATCCCGACCGATTCTCGATCTATCCAGCATCGGGGAGTTAACGCCGTGGTGGAGCAACTTTGCCACCGCCTGAGAGGATGCCAGCGCGGCTGGACCCTTCGGAGCAGGGGGTCACTGGCGCCGTCTTATCGGAGGGTTTTTCGTTGTTGGTGTTCTTGTTGGATGTTTCCTGAGTAGCGTTTTGCTAGAGGGCATTAGTAGAGTTTGAGAAGGACTAAAAATGAGTCCCACAGGGGGGGCGGGGAAACCCTAGACCGCCTGGTCCAGAAGCTGTTTCGCTGGAGACCCCTTCACAATGGATTCAGGAATCGTGGGCTCTCACCCCTGTCCGCTACAGCCGTCCTCCAAGTCCTCGATTCGTCCTTTCACCTTTTCTGCTCTCGTGGTGCTTCGCTGGGGGAAAGGCTGTCGGCGTTCCTGTCGGAGGTACTCGTCCTCGCTGCCGGGCGTGGCTCGACAGGCCGGCTCGGGATGGGCCCCGTTTGAGGGATCCGGGGGCCGATTCGGGGGGGGACAGTATCCGCGAAGCTGCCGAGCATCAACAGCTGCCACCGTTGTCCTGCGAGATGGTGCGAGAGGCGGCGCACTCCATGCGACCAAGCTGTCTCCGACAGATGCGGAGCGCCTCCCACCCGAGGGAGTCCAGGAATTGACGGACATTCTCACTGCATTCGAATTTTGTCTAGCTTGGCCATGGCAACTATCGTTGACGATTGGTCGCGTGTTGGCGAAGAAATCAGGAGGGGACCGCATCATTGGCCTCATTGGCATGTCGCTGCGTATATGGTCTCTTTTCTGGCGAGCCGTGGACCAAGGAGTGGTCCAAGGAGAGCCAACCCCCATGAAGCGCCGCCATCGCATGGAACTCGGCTCTTCGCGAGAACTTCCTGCGCGTCATCGGTGACGAGATCCACGGTGCAATGGGGATGGCCTCTGGACATGCCTTGATTGACATCGGCAGTTTTTTACGATTCTATATCCGTAAGGGCTTCGCTCCCTGCCGCCCGCCCCCTCTTTCGGATAATGGGCTATGCAAGAGCTAAATCATGAGGCCTCGGCGCCGCCGTGAAGCAGCATCAGCAAGAGAAATTGCGATTATGATGATATTGTTGAACTCGGTGTTGAATTTTAAGCCTGCCTCCGTATGCTGTGCACTGAGGTTTCCCACAGACTTTCGGACACTCGGCAAATCTCATGGGTTTTTCGACCCTGATCCTGCTGATCTGCGTGAGGGGTGCCGCCGAATTTTGGAAATCTGGCAAACCCCATTGGTTTTTCCCGGGAAGGGCGTCGGCCCAGGGTTCTCTTTTAGTAGGTTTACCCCCGGTTTTGACGGCTGTAGGGCCGGCGATTTTTTTTTTGCGATACATAACGAGGTCGCGTAGGGCCAGCGAATTAAACATTGAGAATGTCTCTACCTGAAGGCCCTGCGTAGTTAGTAACAGTTAGCGGAACTTCTAATTGTTATTAACGGAGTTATAACTAGTTAGGTTTGGCAAGTTTGAAGCTGTTTTTTTAATGTTTATGTTGTGTTTTTGCATCTCATGTAGTTGGAAATTGGGGCATCATGATTGGGCGCTTCGTCGATTTGGATCTGCTCAGGGGCCTTCAGATTTTTCCCAACCATCCTGTGGTGTTGGGTCCTCGTTTTGAAGAGACGTTGCCCCGCGTCTCCTTCCTCCTCTCCTCCTCCGCCTCCTCTCCCCTCCTATCATCCTCATCGTCATCATCATCATCATCATCATCATCATCATCATCATCATCATCATCGTCATCATCATCATTATCATCATCATTATCATCATCATCGTCATCAGCATCAACATCATGGCCGCCATCATAACCATCATCGTCATCATCACCATCATCGTCGTCATCACCATCATCGTTGTCCTCGTCGCCATCATCGCACGTTTCGTGGCCCCATACGGAGCTCCACCGAAGGTCCCAGTGGGTGTGCCCGCATGCGTCCCGCACGCCCATTTTGGCACACCCCTCACACGTTTCGTGGCCCCATAGGGAGCTCCATTTACGGTCCAAGTGGCGCAGCTCGCATGGCGCCACCGCCCCATTTTGGCACACCCCTCACAGATTTCGTGGCCCCTCAGGGAGCTCCACCTGAGGTCCAAGTGGCGCAGCTCGCATGGCGCCACCGCCCCATTTTGGCACACCCCTCACAGATTTCGTGGCCCCTCAGGGAGCTCCTTTTGGCACACCCCTCACACGTTTCGTGGCCCCATAGGGAGCTCCACCTAAGGTCCACGTGGCGCAGCTCGCATGGCGCCACCGTCCCTTTTTGGCACACCCCTCACACGTTTCGTGGCCCCATAGGGAGCTCCATTTACGGTCCAAGTGGCGCAGCTCGCATGGCGCCACCGCCCCATTTTGGCACACCCCTCACAGATTTCGTGGCCCCTCAGGGAGCTCCACCTGAGGTCCAAGTGGCGCAGCTCGCATGGCGCCACCGCCCCTTTTTGGCACACCCCTCACACGTTTCGTGGCCCCTCAGGGAGCTGCACCTAAGGTCCCAGTGGTGCAGTTCGCATGGCACCCCTTCACACGTTTCGTGGCCCCACAGGGAGCTCCATCTCAGGTCCAAGTGGCGCACCCCACATGGCGCCGCAGACCCACTTTGGCACACCCCTCACACGTTTCGTGGTCCCATAGGGAGGAGGAGGAGGAGGAGGAGGAGGAGGAGGAGGAGGAGGAGGGCGAGGAGGAGGACGAGGAGGAGGAAGAGGAGGAGGAGGAGGAGGAGCAGGAGGAGGAGGAAGAAGGACCGCCCTGGCCGCTGTCGCCGCCGCCGATGCCGCCGTCGCCGCCGTCGGCGCCGCCGTCGGCGTCATGCTCGCGGCCCCACAGGCGAACGGGAGAGAGGGTCCCCTCCCCCTCCTCCTCCTCCTTTCCCTCCTCCTCGCTTCCTTCTCTTTGTTGCCCGCGCGCATCATGATTGTCCATGCTTGTTGAGTCCACTTCGCTGTGAAGCCATCCATTGCAAAGAATCCGAACCATCGCGGCGTGTGGCCTGGCCCCGACCGGTGTCTAGGATTCTTCAGCGACGGGTGTCTCATGGCCTCTCCAACCGTACGAACGGATTCATAAAGCCATGGACATAGATGTTCGTCGTCGTCGTGGTCGTCGTCGTCGGTGTCGTCGTAGTCGTCGTCGTCGTCGTTGTCGCCGTCGTCGCCGCCGTTGTCGTCGTCGTCGTCGTCGACGTCGTCGTCGTGCTGCGTCGTCGTCGACGTCGTCGTCGTGCCGCTGTCGACGCCGACGCCGCCGCCGCCGCCGTCGTCGTTCATAAGAGCGCGTTCTGATGGGTTGTGTTTCACGTAGTGCGCTTGCTTTCATGGGCGCCACTAGCGCCGATTTTTCAATTTCGCGTCCTGCCAGGTAGATGGGGTTCGCCGTGCGTGCGCGGAGAGTTTTCGAATGCGTAGAAGGAAAAGACCATCGCGATTTTTTTTTTTGAAATTTGTGTTCTGGGGTCGTTGGAGCGTTCGTCTCGCGGCGCCACTAACGCCGATTTTTCAATTCCGCGCCCTGCCAGGTACATGGGGTTCGCCGTGCGTGCGTGGAGAGTTTTCGAGTGCGTAGAAGGACAAGACCATCGCGATTTTTTTTTTTTTGAACATTGATTTTTCGGGTCGTTGGGTGTTGCTGGTGGCTGGAGCTGGTGGCTGGAGCTCTATGCGCTGCTCTCGCGCGCCACGCGCCACGAGGGCCTCCTGCTCATGCGGGCGCCGCGCATCGAGTTCTTCCTGGCAGGACCGCCGGAGGGCCTGCGAAAGCAGCTGGAGCAGTTTGCAGCGCGCGCGAAGCGGTGCAGGAGGGGGGCGACGGCCCTCGCCAGGGAGCTCGGCTTCACCGAGTTTATCCGCGAGGCCTGACCTGAGGAGCGCCCCCCCCGAGCCGCGCCTTCTCTCGACTGCCCGCATAATTGTTCGGCCTCGCGCCGCGGACGACCCGCGCGCGTCGCTGGGGCCCTCTCGGGGCGACCAGCGCGCGTCGCGGGGATTCCGCGCGGCGCTCTGCTCAGCGCCTCGCTCGCCCGTCGTCGCTCTGCCCAGCGGCCGGAGCCTTGCCCGCAATCAGCCGGCCGGCTAGCTCTCTGTGCTCCGCGCAGCGGACGACCTGCGCGCGTCGCTGGGACCCCTCCGCGGCGACCTGCGCGCGTCGCGGGGACCCCGCGCTGCTCTGCGCCCGCAGCTTTGGATTTTTGGAGCGCGCAGGCAAAGAGGGGGGGAAAGAAGGGGCGGAAGCGGGTGCGATCCCCGTGGGGGGCGTGCCGACATGGGCGTCGCGGCGCGCGGGCGCTGCCGTCGGGGTTCCCGCGGAAGCTGCCTGCGGCGGCCACGCCCAGTGTCACGAGTGTTCGGACAGGCATGCTCGAGCCGTTCACATTCATATACATTCACACTGGGCGTTGCCAATATCGCATTCATGCAAATATACTCACTCCCACGCAGACCCATTCACACTCAGATTCTCTCGCGCTCTGGCTCACCCGCGTTCATTCTTTCGTAATCTGACCTATCGTATTCCTTTGCGTTGTGTACCCCGCC